AACACTTCCACCTCACACCAAACTTCATCTTCCGATAACTATACCCCTGCATCGTGGGTGTGTTGATTTGGTGGACAGTAGGCGAATTCGTTCATTTGCCAGGGGTGAAACAGCGATCCTGATTGGGAACGGTCTGCTCAATACACTTCACATGCTCACTCAGGGACCTCCCTCCCTCCTCCTCCTCCACCTCAGACACAACAAGAACTAGAAGTAGTGAGTAGATGGAAAGAAAGTTGTGCTCTTGACAGCCAGCAACACAAGACTTCCTTTTTGAAATGGTGTGCTTGATTAACGAGGTGAACTACGACTGAGGATGGGGAGGGGATGGGATGGAAAGGGAGTGAAGGAGGGAGACACCGACCCACCCTCTTCTTCCGCATTTCCTGAATCACTCCCTCCTCCACCAATGTTCATTATCACCATCTCTTGGCATTACCCCAGCACATGCGACATGGAGCAGTAAAGATATGAAATGGATTTGCCAATGAAGACGATTGGAGTAGGTCTGGTATCTCGCTTCCCTTCTGGTCACAATTGATTTTACACTAACGATGATATTGTGAGCTGCTCGGGTACCTGTGTGAGCATCGACACCACCCAGACCCACCCCATCTAGAATGACCAAGAGACGAAGACTTCTGTACAGTAGTCAGCAATGTCATTGCTGTGATTGATACGAGCAATACAGCGTGTTGGTGCGAGCCTATTGGCCTACTGGGTGGCCAGTTGGAGCTTCTTTTTGCCTGTCATCCTGTTGACATACTCAGATGTCATTCTGAATAGTCTTGACCTTACAGTGAATAGTGCTACCTGGTCACATGGGGTCAACGGGGAAGCCACAACAAGTGTTCTCAATATCGAAAGCTACCAGAATGTTCTCCTGAGTTGGTAGGCATTCGCACTAGACGATTAATTCACGGAAGTGAATTGTCAATGCTGGGAACCCGACGTTGAAACCTGTCAGTAAGTGACAGGTGTAGTAACAATTAGGGAGTGGCTTGACGTTTAGTTAGGATAATGAATCTTCTTCAACCAAAAAAAAACAAGGAAAAACGAAAAAACCACAAAATATTGTTCGGGTACCGCATGATTACCCTCAGACAATGAATGTCCTGAATACTACACTTTGTTTACAACTCACCTGATCTGTCTGCTACACGACTTGGTGCAAATGTTAACCGTAAACAGATAAGGAACAAAGGTCACACACAAACCCAAAGATTGTAGCTACAGCGTGTTAGGTAGCGTCAAGGTGTTTCCGCTTCTAGAACCACTTCCCACTTCTGTAAATAACGCAGTGGTAGATTCAGCAATGATTGATTCAAGAAAGTCGCAGTGATAAGGAGAGGAAGAGAGAGAGGGAGAGACAGAGAGAAAGATAGAGGGAACGGCATGCGGAGGTAAACTCGAGCCGGGCATCTTTGCTAGGCATCAAAACACGGGGATGGCGGAATTGAATTTGCCATCTAAAGGGTAAAGTAGACAGAGAAAAAAAATCGGACAAATTTATCAAAACTGGAACCATGTCAACTATTTGTTCAGAGGATATTTCATCTATTTATTCATTTTCAACTATCCATTCATCAAAGCATCCTTTCAACCGCCAATCCACTAGGAAATCTTCCCTCAAGAATGCTTTCATCCGCTACTCAAGTTTCTTTCCGAACAGACATCTTCAAACTATCCAGTAGACGAAACATCTACCCGTCCATCAATCTATTCAAGCGTCCCGCCAAGGATTCATCGATCATTCTACCCCGGCCAACCATCAACGCCAGCAAATGATTTCATAATACTCACTATAAAAAACATTCGACCACTTACCAGAGGCGCACTTAAAACTCCATCTTCCTCCTCCTCCCTCTCATCCTCACTGTCCTCAAACTTCTGTAGACACGCGAAATCACTCTGACTCAGAGTCGAGGGCATTAACATATTCTCGGAACTGAATGCATTTCCACTTGCTAATCCCCTTCTATTTGCCGGTTGCCTGTGGATCTGGCTCCTAGAGGACTCCAGACCCAACGCGTGGACAAAAACGGCAGGTTCAGCACTCTCCTCACCATTGTTGAGTTGTTGCTGTTGCTGCTGCTGTTGTTGATGAGGAACAGCGCGATTGAGAATTTTAATGAACTCCGAGGTTTTTGCACGCATTCGCAACTGCAAATAGCCCTTGGCGCATTTTATATGATAATGAAGGTAATTGCGAACGGTGTGGATCAGGTTGATGCTCCTGTCGGCGGAGTGGGGTGCAAGGTGGCGGGGGAAAAGAACTAGGAAGCAGGAAATCAAAAAACTCGTTTATTGGTTATCGACACTTTTTGCAGCCAAATGAATGATTTGATAGTAAAGGCTCCGAAACGTCAAAACCTGACTATCAGTTACACAAAACAACTGCGCTCATTGATTGACTGACAGTACAAAGTGGCATCACCTTACACTTTAGATGGTAAAACAGTTGTTCTTACATGGAATGCGTTGGTACAAGGGGAAATTACCTGTTCGAAGATTATCAAGTAGCGATGCCTATGCCTGTTCAATAAAACATCTAAAGCCTTAATTTGTTTTCTAAGATTAGTCGTAAAGAGTTAATGCCGACAAAATGAATGGTTTAAACGCACACTAGATTAGAGCATCTGTGACGATTTGACCCACCATTTAAATTCCAACTCGGTGTCTTTTGAGTAAGTCCTCGGTGCTTATGCACCTCTGTCCACAGTTACCTTTGTCATGAATAAGGGAGCAAGCTAGATCCAACTTTCACATATTCAGCTTTGACAAACTAGTACGGCCACCTTTCAAGCTCCCCATCTTTTTGCAGAGAAAAATAATCCTACCCTCATAAACCCACATCTTCTGTCCCCAATATTCAGTTTATGACAGAATGGTGTTCCTTCCACTCCGATGGAATGCACCGCAACCGCAAGAGCAGCCTACTTGATAGACTGAAATGATCATCTGGCGCATTGAGACACAACCAATTACTATACCTCCCTTCATCCATCACTATAGGAGCACTTAGCAGAAAGCGTCCAACCAATCGCCGCTCCGGTAGATTGGACGAAATGAAGAGTTTACGGTTTACTCGGTGTTTCCTATCCAACTAACCCCAACGGAGCTGATGGCTGATCATCAACCATCAGTCATTGACAATGATTGCTTCTGCTTGGCATACAATTACTGTTAAACAACTCACTGATTTGTCGATCATACAAAATAATTTATAAACGGTGAAAATCGCTACCTAAATTAACAGATGATTTTTTCCTCATACTGCATTTCAAACTTGTTACGTTCAGCATGAACAGTTTAGGCTCACCAAAGGTAATATAGGCTCTGTTATCACCACCTACTGCATCCGTGTCTCGCAGCTCAGCTGGAGGTTCCCGATGTGAGTAGAGAACTTGTGGCGCCCTATCATAACGCCGCCGAACCTCAGTTAACTCCTACAAGTTGACGTAAAAAAGGCACCTGAAGGGAAGCGCCTACTTATGAGTTTAAAAGTAGTCAGATTAGTCACAGTCGGTTAATGCTACAAGGAGGGTGGGGCGACAGCGCCGAGATTTAGATGGGTTTTGGTGAAAAAAAGTTAGCCTACGAAAGAGTTAGAAGAAATGGATGGGAATAAAAAAGCACCAATCGTAGCCCCTGAGTCTATAAAGAATGCGAATTTGGCAGCAGCATGTCACCACCAACGACGAGACCCAATTATGTAGATGTTAAAGAGCGAAACTTTTGAGAACTTTTCAACTAAGAGAATGGCGAGCTTTTACAAGACCAACGTTTATTAGAAGGCTGACGTTTCCAAGCTACTGCCCCGAATTTGACTGCAACGGTTCCTGTCCAGTCAAATTCGCAAATCAAGCAAAGCGGCTTTTTAAAAATGGTGTTAAAAGAAAAATGACATTGTCTGAATTATTTTTTAGGATAAAGTGGTGTTACAGATACGGAAACTTACCGCTTTCTTTGTCCCACCATTCACTAGGCAAGCTTAATTAGGAAGACAGATAACTATGCATTATGAGTCATGGTTTGTCCGACTGTCCAACACAAAGAAAACGCCTCGTCACAAACTTAGCCCGCAAAACTAAACACTTTCCATCGTAAAGAACATGTTAAAATTGTTAAGACCAGCTTTAAAAATCAATAGGAAATCCTAAAAAAATAGCTAACTATCAGAGGATGACAAAAAAATCATCGATGTTGGGGGCTAGTTTTCCGGCCAACCAAAATGGGACCTTGAGAAAAAAAAGGATGAGGAAATGAGGCTCTACCTGCATAAAGATTTTGCCAATGACAACGTCATCAGCATCCTTAAAAACGGTACTGAAGATAACGGTGATGCGGTCCTCAAGGGCTTGAACGTACCTAAAGGAAAAAAGGGGGTATTCCTTAGGATTTCATTTAGGTCAACCAGGGAGTGATAAATTTCATAAGTTCAACAATTTTGCAAAATACGAGCTCTTATAAACGCTTCAAACATCACCAATGACATAACTTGAGTAAGCAGTACTAAATATGCATTATAAAGGCAAGTTAAGAGCAGCTTGCATCTTAATTCATATGAGTAAAGGCAAAAATGAGGAAGCTGAGGGATGGACGGATAGATGGGTGGAGAGATAAATGGATATGGGATGGGTGTATGGATGGACGCCTAGAGCAGTTCCAGACGCACCCATGCGTGAATGAATTGAGGAGTGGGTAAATGGATTGACAAGTAGATATCTGATTCGCGCTACAGAAAAACGGGAAGTAGGAAATTTAACCCCAAGAAATTGACAACTGTTTGCTTCGTCCCCTATAGATGGGGCCTACATATGCACTGACCATCTGAACTTAAAATGTACATCAAGCAAGTAATTCTCCCTACGTGTTTTCACCATGGAATAAAGGTCAAGAGGTCATAAAAACCTTCCACCTTATTGGTCTATGTGCTGTTAACTGCAGCACCTTATGATTCACCGAGGGGGGCAAATTAGTCTTCCTTGCATTAATGCCCAGACAGTAGCAGAAAATACGAGATCGGGAGGGCAAAATACTCCCAAGTAGGAAGGCATGCTCATTTAATTTGTCGTGATCAGTCAACAATAACATTAATAGTTGATTCGAGGGTCACTTCGTAACGGCGACAAATACAAACAACGTCAAGCAACACACCAAAAGTTGAAATGGGACAAAATCACACAAAAAAATTTGCTCAATTTGCTGTTGGCAATTAATAGGCCATTTTCAACCAATGCCAAGAGCTCCAATGGAAATGCAGCTACGGAGAAATGCCTTTTGTGTCCAAAAGGGCAGGTGTGTGTAGCTCCCTATGCATGCGATTAATCCAACCCATAAATGACTGAATTGACACCAACGTCAGTTTTGATAATTGCCACCGGAAAAATAAAACCTACCACATCCTCCCTGCAACCGTTCTACCATTGACATTGAAAAGATGATGTCAATTTCCAATTCGACACTCGAAAAGAATATGACAGTTAATGAACATTTAATAAGAAGTGAATTCCTTAATGGATACAAAATGGATAGACACGTGACAGATAAATAAGGGATAGATGATTGGATAAACTGATGCATACAGAATGGATGAAAGAATAGATGGACGGGTGGGTGGATGGGTAGATGGGGGATGGGATTGTTTCTACGATCTCACCTAAGAACTACATTACGCACAGTAACTTTTGTGGACATTTATAAAACCTAGTAAGACATTGTTGACTCAAATGAGTAAATTTTAACTAAACTGTTGATTCCAAGCTCAAACACTAAGCACCATGTTTGTCTGCTTATACGTCTACACTTGCAGAACGAGATCAGGTAGTATTTATTCTAGCCGACTTTGAGCCACGCAGAAACAGGTAGGATTGCATAGTCCAAAGAGGCAGAGCTCTGCCTACTTTTTTTCAATGAAAAGATTTCTGCGTAAAACATCAAATGCATTCAGAATCAGGGGGATTGTTTTTACATCGTTCCCCACGAAGCGTGAAGAGGAATTGAGGAACACAAACTGGCAGCAGATAAAAAGTGCATTCCGTACATAAAATCAAAAAGAAAACGAAGCAAAACCAACCGTCATTGCTATAATTTCACACACCAGGAATTAAAATAACAATGCAGTTCTAAAGCGCGCAACATGTCCCCTACGGTATAGGAATTCCAACCAACGAGAGCTGAAACCTCTGGAATATCTGGAATGGGAAAGTCAGGGTCTCCTTACAGGATCAACGACCAAGGGGGAATCCTTCTCATGAACACCAAAAATAAATACTACAGAAGCCAAAAGTAAACACCACTTTTACAAGTAGCAGTGTTTTCGTACGAATCCCATAAATCAAACATTAAGTATGTGCCTAGAAAATTCACAGGAAAATGCGGTATTCCCACAGTTCTCTTTTGAGAGCTTGGCGCCTCAAATGGGTTTGAGTTAAAAAATCCGAATTTTGCGTTATTTGTAACTTAAAACTTAAAACCACTAAGACTCTACGACATGACGAAGCAAAACCAGACCCTAACAACATAATCAAGGCATTTGTGAAAATTTAAGCTTGGCGATTAAAGGCTAGAAGAAACGCCTTATGATAATAGCTAGAAGCTCAACATACAACAAACGCAATTTTAATGATTTAGGTAATCCAACTTTCGAATCACCCACTTGCAGTTTCGCGGGCTTGATATGGACTTCAAACGAGAAATTCATTTAGTTTAGAAAACTTAACATGTTAAAAAGGAGTATAGCAAAAGTCCATTAAGATAACCTCATTTGACCACTTAAATACATTTAAAATGTGAACGATGGACCTTAACTTCCGGGAACTTAACGCGTCAAAAAAGAAACGGTGGATAACTATATTCAGGTAACTTTATCCTAATATTCAGGAATACAAAATAAGGACTCGATTATTTCTGCTTAAAATAAGGAATTTACGTTAAACCTTGTGCCTCACACAAAAAATGCAAATAAAAGAGACGTAAACAAGAAAAAAAAGACATAACTATCAGCCTACATAGCTTCATCTGGACTGTAGTGAATAACAGCTCGTTTGGAGATAATGGGTTCATCCGCTAGTGCTTGAAGGAGGAAGAAGGGTTCAAACACAGCGGCAAAACAGTTCCGTTTCAGCATAGCAACATGGCGGGCAACGACCTCGCAGTCCTCCGGGACATTTTGTAAGTCGAAACAGAGAGTAACTGAGTAACCGGGATATGGTTCGTCTAATATGTAAGCACCGTATTCTCGCCTCAGGAGCTAGACAAAAAGCATGATTTTCAATTTTACATTTTCGAGAGGTGGAACAAAAATATCATGAGGGAAAAGGGCTACTCACGCCTTCGACATCGTATTCTTTCAATTCGTCGAAAAAGTTGACTAAAAGACTGACCAAAAGTTTGGATTTATCGCCCTCGGGGTTGTGAATCCGATAGAGAACGCGGTCGAAGTCAGCAACGGTATAGTCAATTTTTTCGAATTTGAAGCTGATTAGTTGAATGAGAAAGCGGGAAACCTACCCGGCTTTGGCATTACTGAAACGGGTAAGAAGCAAGTCTTCCACAGCCGAATTATGGAATTCCAGGAATATCATAGTGAGCAAATGCGAACGTCTGGTTAGTTAAAAGGCGTAAACCAACATGTCTGGAAGAAGGAAAAGTAGAGCCAGACCGTGTCAAAAAGTAAACAAGCCATCAAAGATACAAAAAAGACACCTAAAAACCCAGGAAAATGTAAATAAGTAGAAAGTATGAAATAATAAGACAGCGCACAAAAAGAAAAACGCTTATACAAATTACGGTGAAGACCCCCAGACAAGTCGCACACTCAAGTCTTCACGCCCATTGGTTAAAAGATAAAATGCATTTGGAAATTGAAAAGGCTATGAAATAGTACTTTTGCTTAAAAGCGTCTTAAAATAGTGGCTAATCAACTGCTCGTATATATTGGTACAGTCTGCCAGCTTAACGTTGGCTAGTTGATGAATGACAACGACAAAACTGATAACAGCTTACAAACTTTAATTAATGAACCAAATAAAGATAGTAAACCCGCTACTGGTGCCATCATTATCTCAATTTATTGAAACAGTTCGCGAATAAATGCATGTCAAGACCTGTTGTTTAGCCCGCCTTACTTATAAGTTTTACCGCATCCTTTTCCCCCATAATCCCAAAGTGTATGGTGTGAAGCTACCCTCATGAGTAAACCTAATACACTACCATCTGAAAAGTCTTCAACATGGTCTAGGCCATCTCAGTGGCTTTCTATAAAAGATTTTATTTTACTAACCAACTTAAGCTCCCATTAAAATTTCGAGTTTCAAAACTCTTGCATGCAGTTCTTAGTCAAACAGTTTTTAGTTGGTTATTTAAAGCCATATATATTTTTAGTCAAGTTTTTTTGTGCATTAATACTAAGCTACACTACAGCATTCCTTCAGGCATTACTGGATATGTTAAGAGATTTCCCCGTGACCTCTTATCACTGTTAAACCATCTAATACTATAGGCATTAAGCATATCCATGTAAAAATCACATTAGGCAAGTGACGCCTACGAGTGGTAACGGATGGTTTGGATTCGCTCGGCCCCTTAAACAACTCACTTCTTCGAAGAGAACAAGTTCTTTGCCTAGTAACACCTGCCTACCAGCAACATCAAGGAGAACAGTTGCATCCTCAGAAGATCCTTTTTACTTCGTCGAACCCTGGTTCCATTTGAGATCCAGGACTTGCCGAAATTGACACGGTCTTAACTCCTCCGAAACGAACTCCTACGAATTCAGTTATCTACATCAGATGCCTACCTTTTTTGGCGTTCACGTTTGGCATTCACTGGACAGATTTGGAGGCCTCGTTTACTTCAAGTGACACCGCTTACAAAATCAACTTCCCGAGTCGTTCTAAGCCATGTGATAATAATAGTAGGTCTATGGATAGAGCACAGTTGGCCTAGGAGACGGCCACAATGGCAGTACGATTATCCTTTTAACAATTAACCCTTGCCAAAATACCTACGTGCAAACAGAAGGTGCCAAACCGATTTAAACCAAAGCGAAAAAAATTTTATTAACCACTAAAGAAACACGAAAAAAACAATTGGAACACTATCATCTCATCTCATCATTGCTCCGCGCTTTTTAGCAGCATCTCTTGCAACGGCAGCCTAAAAAGTTGAAACAAGAAAGGAGGAGGAGGA